AGATTGGCACTCTTTGAATTTTACAATGGTAACTTATCTTTTGCCGTGAAGTAAGGGACAAAGATAAAGCTTCAAACCTGGCCATATTTTTTTCATATAGTTTTTTACTTACAGTTCACCCCCCATTACAATGTAAACCAGAGAGTTAGAATAGCTCCCAAATTCTGATACAGTTGTAAACTCAACTTTATTCCTGTAGTGTTGCTGTAGGCAACTGTATTAGTTCCTGATGTATGGCATTGTGCAAGTATTTCACTTAAGGTTGTTGCAATTACTGGACAATATGGTGACAATATGTGTGGAGTCATTTAGATGTAAAAACTTCGTGGCTGAGAATGCAGAACTTTGCGTTGCATGCAGTCACTTCCACACCTCTTAATAAACCCTCTGATCCCTGTGACTGTCCTGTAGCTTAGCTCCTCACTTATACCTGAATCCCTAAAAAGTAAAGTATATCTTTGTCTATCTCTGTATATCTCAGTATATCTCTGTACAATCAGGTTTATGTCAAGGCAGTAGACCTACCAGAATAGTTAGTCTCGTGATGGCCTTTCTATACTGTTGTAGTAAGAAAGGAGTTCTCTTCCTGCCTTCTTCTTTCCAAGTTTATACACACTTGAGATTTTAAGTCTAGTTTAATCTGATCACTTTTAGCCTTTTTATCCTCTGGGGGTATGATCCACTTTCTGCATTGCTCAAGACTATTGTCACACATGGTGACACGAGTACAGCAAACATCCTGCTGGACATAGGAAAGAGCATGGCAAATCTCTGAACTGTGCATGGCAAAAATTGAGACATTTAGGAACAAAGAGAAGGATGATCAGACTTGAGACTTTGGAGGAGTAGTGTGTTCTACAATTTGCTTTTTCCTGTATGAGGTTTCTTTTTTTCTTTTTTTTTTTTTTTTTTTTTTTTTTTTTTTTTTTTTTTTTTTTTTTTTTTTTTTTTTTTTTTTTTTTTTTTTTTTTTTTTTTTTTTTTTTTTTTTTTGCAAACTGAAAAGCAGTTGTAAAAGCTCTGTCTGAAAGTCCTGTTAAATTTTCAAAAGGCAGTCTTTAAATGCTCTTCATTCCCCTACAAGAAGCTTAGTGTGTGCATTATCAGTAGTGACAGGATTGTAAAGAAATTCTACTTAGTTTAAATGGAATCCTCTTCTTGCCTCATGCCATATACTTTTTACCAAACAAAACTCTTACCTCTTGTTACTGTCTTCTTTCTATGAAATAGGGTATATGCATCCTCATTAGGCCTCCAGATGGGATGGAAAAGCAGTCATAAGCTAGTATTTTGGTCAGATTTCTTGTTAGTGAATGATTTTTAGAGGTGAAAACAGCTCTGTAAAAAACTTGTTTGGAGTTTGGGTTACTTTAGAAAAGACAGCACTCATACTGGGCTGTATTTCACCCATTAAAAGGCATTTATCTCTAAAAGTACAATGATATTGAGCTTGTGTATGTTTAAGGGAGATATCAAATCCTTCTAATGTAAAGCTTAAATCTTATAAGTAAAGTTAGAAACTTTCATGCTGATAATGCACGTAAGTTTTCTACTTTCAACCAAATTAAAATGTGGAAAAAATATGTATTAATGTTTTTTCCAAATCTAAAACTATGAGAGTTACTATAAGGGACTTTTAACTTCTATCAGTAAAGCCTGCTGGAAATAAGACTTAAATGATTTTTGGGTAGCTGAAGCCCATAGTCTCTAAAGTGGCTGCTGTAGAGTACAAAGTAATATCCACACAGGCTTGCATTCCTACCAGAACTGCTGTCTTACACATTGAAAAAAACCACTGTACAAGGCTAACCTTGTACAAGGCATCTGCATTATTCTAGAATTCTCGAGTCTTCAAGTTAGCAGCACAACCCCATTTACAGTGGCCTTTCCTGGTGAGGCCATGATGGGATTTGGCTGGTCTGAGCTGGTAGTTCTGCTGCAACCTGTTGTTGCCTCTCTGGTACAGCATATCTGGCTTACAGTTGCAGGGTGTTGAATCTTCACATAGGCTGGGAGATACTGGAGTATGAGAAGTCACCAGTGTCAAGGAACCACCTGCCAGGCAACCTTGGTTAGTGCAGCTCTCCAGTGTGTTGTGTGTAAAGGCATTGGGCCAGGTGGGTAGGGAAGACAGACTATGGTAAAATGTTGGGACTTCTTGGAAATGCAATGGAAGAACTTACCTGAGTAATGATCGGAGTTTCTGGCAAAGGCTAGGTCCCCTGGTATTTCTCTAGGAGAATTTGGTGGTGGTTAGGACTTGTCAAGTTTGGTTATGAGCTATACTTTTTAACTTTGTTTCTTTTCTTTGGAAGTTTATATGTGATGCTGTACTAATTTGACCTCTTTTTTTACACCTTAAATACAACATTGTACATGTTTCAGCAAGGGTTATTGCTACAGGAGGCTAGAATGGTTGCCTTGTTAGCTGTGTTTCTTAAAGCTTTTTTGGATGCTAGGGCAGTAGGCAGGAAGGGATTCAGTCAATGGTAATGTCCTTCACTGTGGTAACTGATTGCAGCAAGCTCATCCACAGCACGCTCAGCTATCTGAGAAATGGTAACTTCCTGATAACCTTTTCTGCAATTGCTAAATAACTTAGTTTTCATATGTAGTGAGTGTGCTGTGTCTACTCCTTGCTAGTAACAGTCTAACAACCTTTTCTACAAGTAATCAATAAAACTTAATTTTCTTATGTAAATGTTCAGCAAGTTTTTGGAAAAACAGCCTTAATTAAAGACTAAAAGCCCCCAGCTTTCTAGTAGGGAGGACTAATGGGACTGTTTCACTTGCTGCTTCAGATTCGTGTTCAGTCTCCTGTAAATAACAGCAAGTGGTGTTCATTTCTGCACCATTTCGGGCTCAACTGAAGAACTTTTTCTCTAGAAGACTGAAGTATAGAGCACTGTAGACACTGAGATTACACTTGTTTGTTTTGCGGGCCTGTCCTATGATGTGAAGGGATATACTGCCTGAATTGGACACAGGACTCAAGCATTTTAGCATGGTCTGAGGTGTTCCCATATGGCACGAATTGGTGGTTAGACTGACAGCTAAACAAAAGGGAAGCTTAGGAGGAGCTCCTCATAGCTTGTGTGGTACCCTACGCAGTGACTGGCTTAATAGAACTAAATTTGAGTGTAGAACTCCATTAAAGAAAAAAAAAAACAAAAAAAACAAAACAAAAAAAAACCCACCACAATTGAAAGGTAAAGCTTCTTTGGAAATGACACAATTGACCTGCAGAAGTAGTAAAAACCTTCTAGTCTAACTCCTAATTTGTAGTAAGGCTATACTAAAAATGCCTTTTAGGCAGAAGAGTCCAGCCTGGAAAGACCTAGGGACACAATGTGTACACTCTTTAGGAGACTTGTATTAGCAATGTAGCACTTCCAGTGGAATAGTCTCAGAGATGCAGTCTTGGTGCCTGGCCTTAAAGTCCATGGCATAAATTCTACTTCAAAACTTGAGCTTTGAATATGGAGATAAGAACTTTCCTCTTGGATGCTGCTTGTTCTCATATGGGATAATTAACTGGTAGTGAAGAAATTCATGTGTCATTTCCATTCTGAAGAATATGCTGGCTACTGATGCTGCTTTGTGCAGCATCATTCTTTAAAGGGAACAGCCAGAAAGCAAGTCAGCTTCTTTATAATTCTCTGGAAATTTACTGCAGCTGCTGCTGCTTTCAGGCAATTCTAACAGCTGCTTAGGCAACCTTTCCAGAAAACGTCTGTAGGGAATGAGCTAATCATACACTGAAGTACTGACACTAAAATGAATGAGACAATTGAGCTAGGAAAGCATGCTGCTGAACAGGATCCCTTGTGAAGTTCCTTCACCTGTTGAATTTCTGGCTCCTTATGAGAAGATAATGCCCTGTTCTCCTTGTATCTGTTTGCCCTTGCTAATCAAAGGTGGACTTGAATGTTTATAAACAGAGGACAACTAGATTTCCTAATACAATTCCTACTTTTTCTATGTATTTTAAAACCTCAAATCCACTAAGTGATAAAAAACGAAGTCATGATATACTGTAAAACTACATTGTAAAGTACAGGGAATACTTTTCCCAGTGAAGTCTTCCAAACAAAGCAGGAAGCTATTTTACTAGCCCAGACTTCCCAAAGAACGTGCTGGGACTTTACACTGCTATATACAATCAAGTATAAAAACACATATTCTTGTCCAAACAAGAATGAGTGAACTGGCACACTGTAATTCTACAGTTCAAGGATACTGACTATAATAGTTTGACTTAATAAGAAAAGGCTTTTTTTTTTTAGTTTACCCTACTCACTGACAACTGTTTTGTTTTGGTTTTTTTTCTGGATTTTTGTTGTGAATAATCCAGTAACTATTCCAGTGATCTTGTTTGAAATCCTAAGATTGCAGTAGAACTTCTGTAGTTGGAAAATGATCCAGAGAAAATCTTAGGTTTAAAAGATGAAGTCGAAGGTAACAGGTTTAGCTAGAACTGCTAAGCTAGCTCCTTTTGAACCTGTCCCTAAGGAAAAATCTATAATATAGGTGACTTCTTCAAAAGATGCTTTGAAGGCTGTTAGCCTTGAAGCTTGCAGAAACCCTTTTTGCTCACCCTTTAGGAAAAGGCTGAGTTTGTTTAAATCTGTAGCTGAAGTAACTAGATTTGGATATAAATTGGATATTTATTTTTTGATAGAAGAATGATTTGTGTGTAACTGTTGGTAGTGTTTTTAGTAATTACTTCTCAAAAAACACTACTCAACAAATAAGTTTTAAAAAAATTCAGAGTGGTAGTTGGAATTGCAAACTACCTTTAGCACCTGACTTGTCAGGTGTAATATATATATAATAGCCGTTACAATGAGCTTACATAGGATAAAAGAGGCAATGTTTTATGAGCTAGGTGACTAGACCCGAATGCCAAACTTATGAACTAAGCTGGTACAGTAGTCCATTTGGATTAAATACAGTTCATGCTTCAATATAAATATACTTGGTCACTTTCTTCTCTTTCAGGCCAGGAGCGCTTTGGAAATATGACCAGAGTATACTACAAAGAGGCAGTTGGTGCTTTTGTGGTCTTCGATGTCACAAGAGGCTCCACTTTTGAGGCTGTTTCAAAATGGAAGCATGATTTGGACAGTAAAGTACTACTTCCCAATGGCAGCCCCATCCCTGCTGTTCTTCTTGCAAACAAGTGTGACCAGAAGAAAGACAGCAGCCAGAATCCCTCTCAGATGGACCAGTTCTGCAGAGAAGGTGGCTTTGTTGGGTGGTTTGAAACATCTGCCAAGGTGAGCATAATAGAAACATGTTTTCAGTCTCTTGAGTATTGGCATAAGAATGAATGATTATAATCATGTAGGAAATAAAATTATCATGTATAGGAAGTGACAGTCAAATCTCTAGTGTTCAGCAAAAATTTGAAGTGGTGTGCAGGCTAGCTTCACTCCTGAGGAAGATGAGGCATATTTGGTTTAGATTAGAACTGCATGGGCAGGAAAATGTGCCTATCTGTAAACTGCCAAAAGCAGTTTGTGGCTGACGATCACAAGCTTGTAAGGTTCAGTAGTGATGGGCTAAACGTTCTTACGATCTAACCTTGCTCATGTAGAGTTCATATCTACAATCAGAGACAGAATAATGTACTGGGCTGTTATTTTCTTTGGAACCAAAGATGAGCAGTTCCAAACATGGCAGCCCTGTGGTGAAGTAACAGGTGGTCCAGCAAGATCAAACCTGTGGCCAGAGACCCTTTGGTATTAGGGCCACCTTAGACCCTCAGTGACTGGGAAAGTTACTCAGTACTGTTACTCAGTGACAGTATCTTGACAAAGCACATCACTAGGTATTCTTCATACAGACCTTCTTTAGAGTGTATGTGAAGGTACTTTTCAAAGCTTGCACAAGAATACGTAGAGTGGGTAGATGATTACAATACTATGGATAGTGCAGTGTAATTACCTGTGATTTTTCCTGATGCAGAAAAGCACTTTGGCATTTGTGAGTCTTCCAAATGCAGGTGACATTTATATCCCTGACTGCCTACTAAATTAGAGTCACAGTATTCAATTTGTAATATGGGTGAATAGTTTTGTCTCAAATCTTTCTGGTAACTTTTGAAAAAAAAAAAGTGTGTGAGCAATGACCTGATGCATCTAAACTGTTTGTGTCATGCTGATAAAACTGAAGGAAAGTTATTCTTTTTGGACAGCTTTTTAATAGCAATGTGTGACTATTTCAGAAAAAATCACTGACTTCTTTGCTGTTAACATTTTTAGGACAACATCAACATAGACGAAGCTGCTCGATTCTTGGTGGAAAACATCCTTGCCAACTACAAAACCTTTCCTAATGAAGAGAATGATGTGGGGAAACCAAAACTGGACCTAGACCCATTGAAAGCAGAGAGTAAATCACAGTGCTGCTAATGCTACCACTGTTAAGAAAATATGATGGGATGAGCAGCAAGACTGTTCCTTAAATCAAAATGCTGCTATGGTGCTGCGTTGTGACAATCCATATGGGGTGTCTGGTACTATCTGAATTGGTGACTCATTTGGGTGTTTACATATTTTTGTTTAGCATGAAACTGTGGATCTTGTGAGTTATCATTCCACTTGCTTAAATGACTGCATCTTAGTCTGATTAGTGTCTTCTTACTTGAGAACATAAGGTAGTGTTTACACTCCTAAAGAGGAACAAAGACAACATTCAGCGTCCTGTTTGCTTCTAGGACATATGCTACTTGTCAAGATTTTAGCTGAATAGACACTTGCACCTTTAAAGTAAACTTTTCCTTTGTCACCAGTAATGTCTCACTTTAGCCTTCTCACCTGCACAATTGTCCCTATTTATTATCCCCCACTGTGAGGGTCTGTCTCACTGCTAGTTGTCCTGGACCAAAGCATCCCAGAAATCTTGAAGGGGCCAATGACAGATGGGAAGTGTCTTTCCTAGTGTGATCACTAGGACTGAGTGGAATAGATGGCTTTTACCACTGAGTTAAGCCAAGATGGTTAAATTATTGTATTTAACAAGGGAAAGACATGGTTATGGAGATAATTACAAAAATGCATCTCCAGCCATTTAAGGCAGAATATTTTCAACTAATACTTTACATATGAAACACATTAATAATAAAATTATAGTTGTGGTAACCTCACCTGTATGCACACCCAGAAATAGAATTCAGTGACTTTTTCATGCACTAACACTGAAAGCTTTACCAAGAGTGCAAAAAGTACTTACCTTACTGTCCTGTGATAATGAACTTCCTTCTTTTTTCTTCTGTCTTGAGATGGTTCTGAATACCATGAGGAAAGAGGGAGGTCTTGGAGGAAATATATAACTGGTTCATGCTAGTCTGTCAACCCCCTTGCCCCAAGCTCTATCTCGTTCAGTTTTAGAACAGTGCTGTGCTCTTTTGCCTACTTTGAACTGATGAACTGGCTTACCTGTTTGTAACTGTATACTGAGATGCTTGTTTCTTATAACACTCATATGCATTTTCGGCAGCAAATGAAGATCAAAAGGTTTAGAGAGACTTTATGGTTCTTGAATGCATTCTGGAACTCTGGCTCTGCCTGGCTCAAAGGCTTTGAAGCTCCTCTTTGTATTAAGGGTTTCTTCTGTCCTATAACTCATTGCTACTGAATTTGCAAGTCTTATCTTGCTTGGTTTGATGGTGCTGATGTTTACTTAAACATCAGAATTAAGTATGTTCAGGATTTGATATACTTTAATCTGTATTGAGATTTCCTAGGCTTTTTTTCTAAAGAGTAATGTAATTTTTAAGAGATAAATAAATATTTTGGGGCATCTTATGTATGTTGTTGGTGTATGCTTTTGAGAACATGGATTTTCACATATGTTCCACACTATACTCAAATGCTTTCACTGACATTTGAAAACAACTTTATCTTCTAGTACTTGCTATGTTAAAGGTTTATTTGAAATTGTCACAGTAAGGCTTGGCATAAGCTAAAAGTGAGTTTGATTAGCTAAAGATCCTAAGGAAATTCAGATAAAAGGCTTCTTAGGGTGTCTTCTAAGCCAACATCTTTCTCCAAGCAAAATCACAGCAGTGTGCTTAGGTGTTCCTGGGTCTGGTCCTAAACTTTAAAAAATGCAGAATGTATGGCCCTGGCAAAGTTATTTTCAATGCCTGACTGTTTCCTGAGTATTTAACTAGTGTGAACCTTTGTAACTTTCATTTATGTCCATGGTTTCCTGTCTTTCTACTGTACACCATTGTAAAGAATGTCATTTAGATTTGTGCAGACTTATTGGACATGTAAAGCTTGATTGCTATTTTTTTCCTTTGCAAGCCTGTAGCACTTCAGAAAGGAAGTTGCATCCCATTCATTCCTTGCTTGCTGGCTTGTCTGAGTTGTTAACCTTTCTAGCTAATTTGAAACTACCATAATATTCCTATTCAATCACTTGGACAACTCCATTTAGACTGTAAACTCACTCTTGATTAGGTGTTTAATCTCCTGTGTACTGTCTTTTTCTAAAAACTTTAAGTAAAGCTGCACAAATGTAAATGCCTACTTTACTGGGGAAACAGCCAGTGGAATTAGACTTTTTGTTCCCCAAACAGTTTTTTCTTGGGTTTGGTGTTTAGATTCAATAGCAGAATAGAGACCAAACTCTGAAGCCTTGGGACTGTACCTGAATGCAGGAATCTCAGCTGGGTCCTGTCAGTGACAACTAGCCTATGCAGGCTAGTTTCAAGCCAAAATTTCTTCTTGATGTGTTTTTGCTGCTATATTAAAGCACTTTACTTATTCTGTATGTAACTTCTAAACCTCTGCATGAATGGGGAGTAGTTTAAGTCATTCTTAGAGACACAATGCCTGAGTAACCATTTGATATATGGTGATAAAAGGAAATATTAGAGAAGAAGTATGTGCAGGAAAACCATGGAATTGAATGGTGGAACACTTTGCTCTTAAACTGTTGCTTCCTTATCTTAGTCTTAATGTCTTGCTACTGACCTTGATTCTAAACAGAACACCTTCTTTGCTATAGTAACACAGTTCTCTAAGTGTGTTTATGCCTTCATCCTTCATATGATGAATTGCTAGAGGATTGAAGAAATGGGGTTAGCAGTATGCCAGGAATAAAAATTATATTAACAAAATTCTCGAGAGATGATAATGATTCTGAATGGAAATACATCATTCACTTGGCAGTATGCAAAAGGTCACTTCAGAGTTCTTTGTCCTGTAGCAAAATAATGTTGAATATAAGGAATATACTAGATTCAGATCTAACTATGTAGTGAAGATTATTTGTGCCTGTATTGTACATGGTGATCATGATGCTCTTTTTGTAGCTCATTTCGCTGCTTCAATTTGTGTAAACAGGAAAAGTATTTGGTGTATTTTTAAATACATGATTATGGCCTCTTTTTTATCACCACCTAATATAGCATTCAGTCAGTGAAAACTTGTTGCTTAGACATCCTACATGGCTTTCATACTCATATGAATAAATTTTACTAAATGGTTATTTTATTGTTTTGGTCTGTGCAAATACAAAATTGCTTCTGACCCAAGTACACAAAAAAACCCTTCCTTGTTTTAGGTAGAGATGGTGCTTTGGATAGCTTTGGCTCGGTAAGTGTACAAGTAGAGGGCCATCATCTCTTGGTTCTCTCATTCTTTTGCAAAGATATGTGAGACCACCACACTCATTCTCTTTATCACTGGGTACTTGGCCTGAACTCTAAATAAAATTAAAATATGGAAGTTTTCTGGCCTTATTGTCCCATCTAACTGGGAGTAAAAGGTAGCTGCTATGTTTCATGTGGCATGTTAAGGGGCTGTATTTTTCTTTTGCAGGTTCTACTTAATGTAACAAATTGATAAAACATACAGGCTTCTGGTCTTAGTTTTTCCTCTTTTTTACTTGAACCTTTAACCTGTGTATTATCATAACCCTTCTGAAAGCTTAACTTATGCTAATAATTATTGGTCTTTTGGAAAGCTCGTGGCTTCCTAAAGGTTACAGATAGCATGGACAGCCTGTTAACTCTGTTTCTAAACCCCCCTGCCCTTTACTGGTGTGTATCTAAGTAGTAGGTGATATCCATCCAGAATAATGGACTTTCAGTCTCTTGCATTCAGATGGGTTTATTTTTTTAATTTTTTTTGTATCAAAAGTGTCTTGCAGACTGTGGTATTGAAGTAGTGTAGTATTTGGGCCATATTATGCATTCCTATTGTTCATAATATGTACAAGCTTCTTTGGTTATAATGAGTGAAATTTAATTGACAGTACTATCCCAGCACTGATGTAGCAAAAGTCTGCCTATGAGAGTAGGAACCCACGCTGAAGCAAGTTTTCTCACAGGACTTGGGGACCCTGTGGGGGACCCACACTGGAGCTGTCTGTTCCTGAAGGACTGCACCCCATGAAAGGGACCTACACTGGAGCAGTTTATGAAGCCCATGGGGAGAACTTACACTGAAGAAGTCTGTAGAGGACTGTCTCTCGTGAGAGGGGCCTCATGCTGGAGTGGGGAAAATGTGAGGAGTTCTTTCTGTGAGAAGGAAGGAGTAGCACAGGCAGTATGTGATAAAGTGACTGCAACTTCCATTCCCCACCTCTGTGTGCCACTGGATGGAGGAGGCAGAGAAAGTTGTGAATAAAGTTAAGCTGAAGAAGAAAGGAGGGGTGGAGGAAGGTGTCTTTAAGATTTTGTTTATATTTCTTATTATCTTACTTGGATTTAATTGGTAATTAATTTCCTCAAGTCTGTTTATCCATGACAGAAAGTGGTGAGTGATCTGTGTCTGTATCTTTCAGCATGAGCCTTTCATTATATTTTCTCTCCTCTGTCAAGCTGAGGAGGGGAGTGATAAAGTGGCTTTGGTGGGTACCTGGTGTCCAGTTCGAGTCAACCTACCACAGAGGCAAACTATTTTGCTTGGAACTTAAAGAATTACTGTTTTCAAGTGTACTTTGCCTCAAGATACCAAAAAAATCACTGCCTTCCAGTAGTTAGTAGTTTAGGGAGCAAGTACTTTGTCAGATGGTCCAGTGGGATGCCATTTTTCATTGGGTTATTGTTTTAAGCAGAATTAGGTGAGACTTACTGTAGTTCAACTACCGATGGTGGAACTTGTTTGTATGTGTGATGGCACAAGTGTTGCAATAACTTCTGCAATTTTTGTGTTTCAGAAGTTAGAGAATGTAAACTGCATTGTAGTGTTGGGATTTTTTTTATTTAGAGAAGATAATGTATTTTTACATGTTATATTCAAACTTGTTTCTATCTTGCAGATGTATCAGTTTATGGTCTTGTTCTTGACTTTTTCTGAAGAATGTTAATCACATTTTAAAAAATACATATTTTGCAATTATATATTTTGCATTTTTATAATAGTACAAGTGCACTGAAGTTAATCACTGTCAGAAAGGATATGTTGTGACCTGCAGCATGCCTTTACTTTAGAACAACACGAACAACTTTTTAAATTTCCTGTAAAAAGGTTACATTCTTAATTGTAAAAAACAAAGTACTAGAGTAAAACAGTGTACTAGGGGCTTTACTAGATTCAACAGCAAAAAGATTGCACTACATTAACATGTGTATTTTCATTTTAAAACCAGAAAAATATCTTCTGTCCCTCAGGCAACAGTCAAAATTCCATTGTATCTGTTCACCAAATATTTAGAATACTACTTCTTCTGTCTGTATTTCCATTTTGTAACAGTTCCAATAGCTAAAGTACTGCAGTTGCCTTTACCTCCAAACTTCAGGTAGGGTTTTCACGCATTACCAAACCCAGAAAGCCTTTCATTTTGACATACAAAGATATTCCTGTTATGAATCATTAAACATAAAATTAACAAAAGAAAGGCAATGGCTCTGCATGCTTCTCTGAGCTACTTGAATTTTCCTCTGCTGCTTGCTTTTGGGGCCTACACTATGTTCTATCCAATATTCGAGTGGAGAGAGCATCAAAATTGTGGTGGTCCCAAATTCACAGAACACTTCAGCCTAAAGTTATGTGCCCAGAGCAGCCTCATGGGACCTGATGGTATTGTGATATTTACGTTGGACTTGGACAGCTGCTTGATATTCTACTGAATATTTTGGTTCTTTGTTTCTCCAAAATGAGACTAGCATGAGAATGATTTTTAAAAAAAGATAAATGGACACAGTAACAGCTGGGTTCATCAGAGTCCTTTCTAGCACCATGTCAAATTCAGGGGAGGCTGGAATGCTAGAAAAACCATGTCCCTGACAAGATCAGATGAGACATGGTACCATTTTTGAAATGGCAGCAGGCAGATAGCCCTGTGCTTAGGCAAAGACTATCTTCTGTTATGCATCTGGCTGCAATTTTCTTCCCTTATGCCTTGTCGTACTCCATTAGTTTATCCCAAAAAATCTTTCATAGTCCCTTTCCCCACTTTTCTCCCCAACCTCGGGCTTACTTAAGAGTTAACAGAATTCAGCTGCTTGTGAATAGTTTCAGTCCATCTGTTTAAGGATGGCTTTGCTCAAATTCAGTTCCTTGGCCTATGTCACCTCAGTATGTGACTGTTCCTAATTCTACACGGACTGCTCCTCCCAAGTTCTGTCACTACAAGGTTTTTATTTTCTCAGACATTGCCATTCTCCACTCGCAATTGCCCCTTTTTTTGGATCACCCTTCAGTTTTTATTCTGATCCTTTACTGCTTGCTGTTCCTGAAATGCCAATGCACTGCTATCTTCCACTGTTCAGTTTCCCCACTGAGTAGTGGAAGTAAGGGTGCCCTTTTTTTGATCTTTTAAATGAATTAATTTCAGAACCTAAATCTTC